GACAAGAGAACTGCATCTTTATACATAAACCCCAATGAAAAATGCTTAATCAAATACATGCATATATAAATATCCAACACCTCTTATCTATAACCTTGTCTGCAGAGAAGGCAATAGCTTGCAGAGAGCAAGAGAGGGTCAAAGTATTTTAGGACATGTTTTAAGGGAGAACATTTTACTATTGAGTGTGAAAGTCTTGTAGAAAGCGACTGTAGCGGAGAGCTGGTATTACACAACCTATCTCCACTTTGGATCCCAGGGAGGCTCAGGAACAAGCAATTATAAATCCATAGGGCAGAGTATCCAGCAGGCAAAGTATCACAGCAGTATCCCAACAGCAATCCCAATAACTGGACGACACACAGTATCCGGAGCAGAACTAAAGATTTATTCACACAGTGGCCTTTTAAAGCCTGCTCCCATGCAAGGGAGGGATTTCCATTAATTTGTACAGTAGCCAATCCTGCTCTGGTAACCTCCCACACATCTCCTCCCCTCAGCCTGTATCATAATCCCCTTATCCAGCACACCAATTCCCCCCGTTTCTGGATGTACCCCTAAACTTAGGGGTACCATTTTAAATTATACATCCCCTGGTAGCCCTGATCTGGGTGAACAACATATCCACTGGATAGAACAGCCGAATGGGGTTCCATGCGATGGGGCCCTGCGGTCGGTCCTGGAGTCAGGGAATAAACTGCATGAAAGCCTCTAGCTACAGAGACTAGGGAGGGTTCGCCTGAATCCACTCGTTCGGTTGTTTCTATCTACCGAACGAGGGGCCGTTCGGTAGTTTGGAACCGAACGGACCGGGCTTGTGGAGGTCTCAGCGGTGTTCGCCTAGTCGAGTGCCCAATTTGAGTTCCAGACACTCAACGGCAAAACACCGCTGTTCGGGAGTTTTAAAATGGCCACTGCCATGTGTTCGTTTCCCGAATGGCGGCCACCCCCGAGAACAAAGGACGGCTACTCAGCTTGTCAATTACCCGTTTGCAACAATGTTGCAACGGGTAATTGAAGGCACATTTCACACAGGGGAGGTCTAACTGTTCGGTAGTTTCATTCGAACAAACTAAGGGAATGAAACTACCTAACATTCAGACGAATACAATACATTTAACACATAGAACTTTGCTATTTTACACAAATGCATTCAAACACATGTAATTCTCAGGACAGCCTAGTGCCATCCGCTACAGTGACGAGGGGGGGAAGTCCAGGAAGTAGTCAACAACCTTTGAGTGAAGAATGAATAAATGATTTAAGACAGTGGTTCTCAACCCAGTCCTCAAGTACCCCCTAACAGTCCAGGATTTAGGGATTACCCAGTTGTGTCTAACACTTTAGACAGAACAGGGTAATCCCTCAATTCTGGACTGGTATGGGGTACTTGAGGACTGGGTTGGGAACCACTTATTTAAGAGAAAGCTGTCATGACTTGATCACAGAGAGTCAGCAGTTTGATGACATCAAGTTACAAGATGAGTGTATTAAAGTAGGAAGACAATCATCTGAGGTTGAGCATCCCTTGTTACCATCCCTTGGAGATATGTCCGTTATTCTCAAAACCTTGTAAGGCAATTTAAAGACACATTTATCCATTAATAGTTACAGCATTACCCTATATATTATCTGTTCTGTTTCTGTTCATTCCCTTTTGTTGTATTTATAATTAAATCCATGCATGTTTTTATTTGGGATATAGCTACTATACAGTGATTTTTCTTTTTTAGTATTTGGACGGTGGGGTATCCTTTTAAATTTTTAAGTCCAGGTTATAT